ATGGTAATTCGTACTCCGTAGAACTGAAATGACATTCATTACAAGATGATTTGTTAAAACGTTTCAAAATGCACCTGCATTGTTTTGCATTTTGTGACTTTCAGTCGAAGAAAATTTTCCAGTCATATATTTTGTGATTGAAGATTTCTTAAAAATAGTGTTAAAATATTGTCTCGTCTCATCCTTGTGAGCCCAATATCGTGTATCGTCACACCCTTAATACATATATATATGTATGCATGTATATATACACATATTTCTATTTGAATATATTTTAAAATGTATTTTATTCTTATGATGGCAAAGCTGAATTTTAAGCAGCCATTAATCTTCAGTGTCACATCCTTCAGAAATCATTCTAATACATTCTAAAACATTTAACATCGTAATGTTTCCAAACTTTTGACAGTATACATATTATTTTATAGTCATATTGATATGTATAATCATAACATTTAAAGAAAAAAAATCAAGATTTTTATCAGAACAATTACAATTATATTTTTCCTCTGCAGATGAAAGTCACACAGGTTTAAAATGACTTGAGGTTTAGTAAATGATGTTTATTGAGAGGTTGAGAATGTTTATTTTTGGATGAACTGTCCCTTTAAATTGTGCTTAAAATGCTCCCTGTGTAGCACCCTAGGCTTTGGAACAGAGCTTTTATCTCTTATTTTAGCAGAATTTTTTTTTCCGCATTGTGTTAAAGGTGCTTGATGCATGTTTTTGCACAATGAAGGGGGAAAAACAACTAAAGGAAAAAAAGAAATATGGCCCGTTACCACCTTGGCGTTTAGCATCTCTCCTCAGGTTCTGACATAGATGCCCTTAGTCAGACTTTCTCTGGGCCTGTCCTCAAATTTTAAAATGAAAATATGCTACTGCAACCATACAGGCAAACGGGTCTTCGTGGCTTGTAGGACAGCATAAGGAAAAAATGCTCCCTGGGATGTTTTGGTTAATGATATAAAGGAAAAGTCAAGCGCTTTGCTCTCATGGATTTGATTCGATGGCTTTCTCTTCTGTTATACGACCAGACTCGTCATGTAGAAAAGCTTCAGGGCCTCATTAGATATTTAATTTTCAATAAATAATGACTTTCTCTGAATGATGTACCGGATGCTCTGAGGCCAGGTGGGAAACCCATTTGAAATCTACGTTGCCAGAATGCAAACTTTCCACATGCGTCCTCCAAGGTTAAAGCCCCATGTGTGAAGATCTGCAGATTATTTATTTATCGGGGCGGTGGGGTGTTTTTTTTGCCATAGGTAATGAGCGTTGACCTTTAGACAACCTCTTTCGTGGTTTTGCTATTTTAGAAATAATGATGGGATTTATTTTTATGGCCTTTGGTTCTGTATAAGTTGGAAATTAAAAGTGGGGTCTACAGCTGCAGGTCTGTCAGGTGAGTGGATCTGTTCCTTCCGGCCGTCTGCATGGCACTGTCTTCATTGGGTAAGGCAGATGGGACGGGACAGGTCGGGACAGCAGCGCTCTGATGCTGAACAGACAAGAATCAGGCCCGTGCAGCTGTCATCTGTTAGCCATCCTCCAGACGGTCCCGCGAGACCCGGGGGAGGCTGGATTATTACCCCCACATCCAGCCTTTCATGGAAAGAACTGCGAATGGTCTGGTCATTGGGCTGCTCTGTTTTGAAACTGTTTAGGCCAGTAATGAGGGGGACAATGTGTTTTCAGGATTCGTTTGCGGTTGCTTCCAATTTGTAACTTAACATGAATGTGTGGTGTAGAGTAGATATCTATGCTTATTTGAAGCGAATAGCATTATGAGTTTAACATCTCTTGTTTACTGTATAAAAGTGGCCCATTTCATGGTATTAAACTTGCAGTAGTTAAATATCGGCATGATTGAATGATAAAAATTACAAAAAAAAAATATATATATAATAATTATTATTTTATGGTTATAGGAAACATACCTTCATACAAGATTCTTTGGATACTGGTTGTGCAGAGATATAATTCAGACACTTCTTAGCAGATTAATCAACTCATAACTAATCATTTTAAGATTATTGCATTGGCTCATAATGGTGTCCGTTCGGGAACAGAGTTGATGGTTCCCCTTGTGTCCTTTCCAAAATATACAGACAGTCTCGCCAATGAATAAACAGTTTTGGTTTTCAACTTTTTTTCTCTGAATTGAGTAAATGGGGGTAGACTTTATTTCTTTTTCACACTTCGCACGGTGTAATTCACATTTGCTGCCATGTATATGACATTAAATGTATATTGAATATTAAAAATATACTAAATATAAAATATTTTTGTCTGTATGTTTTTATATGTAAACTAGATATTCAAAGTATATTAAAATATAAAAATATTATTAAAAAAATTTTTTTTTTTATATTTTATATATAATTTACTGTGTGTGTGTGTGTGTATTAAGTTTATCAGCATTGGTCATGTCGAATTCATGTGTTAATTTGACACTTCTCAATTATTTTACACATTTCATTCCTTTTAATATAATATTTCCAAAAATTTTTGTTCAAGTTTAATATATTTTCCATTTAGTTGTCCGTAGTGATTTATTCTACAGTCTATGACATTTGGAGCTTTAGTAATTGCATTTTCATGAGTGACTAGAATGGGTAGTTTTCTTTTTTCTTAGATCAGACATTATATTTGAATGCATTGTCATTGCTGATTACTTCCTTTGTCATTGTTATTCTTCTGTATGAGTGTTGATGTCTGTAGTAGCTGGATGTGAGGCCTGCGTCAGACACACAGGTAACCGGGTTCATGTGTGTCGATATGGAGCTGTTCTGTGAGATATGAGGGGATGACAGAATGACAGACCGGGGTGAACAGAGGGGTAAGACTCAGCGGGATGCTGCCTAATGCTTTGCTTTTTGTCTTGCGTACCTCCACAGCCCCATCAGTAAAGATCAAGTACCGCTTCATTGACACCAGACTAGTTTGATTTACTTTTAAACTAAAAACAATCGATAATATAGTTGGAAAAACAATCTGCTCTCGGCTCTCCAATTAGTGACACACCAGAGCTAGTATGTCTCGTTGCAAGATTTTGCCATTCTTGCACCAATCATGGAGATTTATTTATAAATGAAATCCAGATGGGGCATTTAACAAAAGTAAAATAATTAGCTGTTTTTGCAATGGTCGAATTGAAATATCAGTATGAAATATCATCACCCGTGAGAAGCTCTTCTGTGTATATGTATTTTTTTCTTAAGAAGCAGCTGAATGTTTTAGACATTAACTACAAAAACAATGACAAGATTAATTGCAATTATTATGATATTAACCTAATGTCAAAAGATTAAAATAAAGCTATCTCTCTTGTTCTTTTTATTTTTTTTTAAAATTAGTTTAACAAAGCAGTGTCTCGGTTTAGTTACCTGAGAGGAGAGATGAAGTGACTTTAGTTTGACGAGCAGATGTGGAGGTTGTTGAGGGTGATACGTGAGTCGAGACGCTAAAGACCAAGACAAAATTTGTCAGAACTTCCTCTCAACCTTTTTTTGGCGCTGTCAGGGGTGGACACTGCCAGGACCACTGCCAAAAGCTTTACCTGCGAATCCCATCTGCGCTACCACACAGAACAGCTGTCTGTCTGACAGGCCTCACTTCCTGTGCCGTCCACCTGGGTTCGGTTGTCTGTTTCAGCTCACACTTCCTCCTGTCCTCTGATTTGAGCAACCATTGTAACAAGCATTGTAACTTCTTTGCACTTTTTGTAAGGTAATGATTAATGAAGGTAATGACTAGATTTTTATATATTTAGAGAGAGAGAGAGAGAGAGATATGAATGTGTGTGTGTTAGGGCTGGGTAAAAAATATCGATATCTCAATTTTAATCGATTCTCATTTTTACGGAACGATCGTTTCTTAAATCCCAAGAATCGATTAGTCTAGCCTGTTTTCAGTTAATGGATGGAACATTGAAGGGCACTTCCCATCCAATATATC